AGGCTCCCCCCCCACAGACCCCAGCCCCAACACCCTCCTGGCCCCCCCGCGGGGCGCAGGGACACAGAGGTGATGGCTGGACTGGGAGATCCAAGGTCCCTTCCGCCCCGACCTGCTGGGTCCACGACGCACCCAGCCCCGGAACGCCGCTCCTCCGCACCACACCTGGAACCAACATCAACAACGTGACCAATTTGTTAATAAAAAACCCCTCACTCCACCACATTTACCCAAGAAAACCTCTGGCTGCTTTAACTGTCTCCAACTGCCTCAAAACCACTTCACACCACCTCAGGTGAGCACAATTTCAATTAGATTAAAAAGCAGGTGTGGAGCAAAATCTGAAGGGTGAAACACCAATAGCTTTTTTCAAAATAGTTTTAATTCTTGCATCCAAGGAAACAAAACCACATCTAGTTTTATATGCATTTAATAGTTTACCAATTGGTACAATAAGATTTTTTTAATATGCAGAAAACATGAATAAATTTTGTTTTACACAGTCTGAGAGCAACAAATCTTACTGTAAAACACAGAGCAGTATTATATACATTCCTTTACTGATTTTTTTTAATTAAATTGTGTCAATAGCTTCAGTTAACTCCTACAGTCTGGGAACTGGTTTCTCCAATTGCAACCTCTAACATCGTTCTCATGAAAAAAAAAATGCGACGTTTGCCTTCATGTCAATGTCAGGATCAACTTCTAAAAGGTGAAGGTTTCTAACTCCTCTTGGGAATGACGGTGGGGAAGCCGAGGGGAGGGGGGGACAAGAAAGCAGCTACGAACATGACACAGTGGAAAGATAAAAAGGCCAGTTAAATCCAGTTGTGACTTGTAAATCCCACTCTGCCCAGGCGCAGCCCCACGGCTCCTGCTCCTGCCAGAGGCGGGGAAGGGACCTGCTCAATGCACTGGGCTTATGTACAACTGGACAGCAAGGAACTCAGCCTAAGTGCGCTTCTTCACTCAACTCAGTCTTTTTCAATAGTCAAATCATTAAAAGGATTATCAAGCCACCACTGTCTACAAAAACAAAGTATAATCTTTTTTTTTCTTTTAAATAGCTTCCATGCGAGCCAAAAGCTATTTCAGAGCTATTCCCAGGCAGTTCCCCAGGCGGGGGGGAGCGGGCACTGACAGCGGGGCTCAAGCTCTGGCC